AAATAAATAAATAAAAAATGAGTAAGTGAATTTTGGCGGCTAAGTGGCGCCATGAGTTGCAGCTCCATGCTATTGGCAACGTGAAACAGCCGAACTGCAGCTGCGACAGCCTTTCCTTTTCAGGAAGTATCTTCAGAGGTGTTCTGATCTCTCACCTCATTGATTCGTTTGGTACGATTCCCACCGGGTTACATCGTGTTCATGAATAGTCCCATAGGATGAGGTTTCTATGGGGCTTCTCCGTGAACCACTAGAGCATCGGCTCAATTCATCACAAGTTTGACATCTTCAGTATTCCCCCAGGGGGAACCTATCTGATGGAAAGTCCCGGAAGTTCATTCCGTGCCCAATGACCTTTTTATAAACAAGGGACAACATCAGTACGCTCTCAAAACGAACTCTTATTGCCACTCTATGAGGTTGGTGAGGGTTTTTCACGGAATGGACTTTTAGCACAAGTCATGGGATCACCCTGGAAGAAGACGAAGCAGTGTCGGCGTCATCGCAGCGCTCTCTAAGGACCAAATGCACTCCATTCAGCCCCTACAACTGCTGGCTGCATTTTCAGGCAAACATCACAATCACGGTTCAAACCCCTCTGGACGAGTTTTCGACATCTTCCATGTTGTTGTTGGGCATTTATGTTTTCTCTCTCGACATACATATGGAGCTGTCTCCCATAATTTGTTTCAAATTTTATTTTTTAAGTCTAATGGATAACATGGTTCTTACATTGTAGGCTGCGCCATGCATCCGACATCCATTAAAAATCGCCGTGATACTTTTTTGCCTTCTCGTCATGTCAAATGGTTTAACTAGTATAGGCGTTCCCATTGTGTCTCGCATCGCTTTTGAGTTACTGAATATCGATAAGAAAACCTTCGACGTTGATCTTTCGCTTTTTGGGATGCGCCACGCATACTGCTTGCATTTAGAATCGTTGTGACATTCGAATGCGCTATGACTTGCCATCCCAGGTAGTTAGGATCCGTACAAGTCAGTGTTTTCGCCCTCCTGAACAACTTTAATACCAGATGACGGACCCAGGTAGAGGGATGACTCGGGCGAGATTTGATCTGGGATCTGACCTCAGACTTAGTGCGTGGAAGACGGCCTCACTTGCTGTCGTACCAACTCAGCCCTCCTTGGTAGCATAATGGTGAGCAATGTGAGCAAGTAGTAGTGGCGCCTGCCACGCAATGATAAAAATATAAAAAATAGTAAGATATTTGGTGAAATTTTGAAATTCGATAACTATTATTATATGAAAGCAACTAAAAATCAGGTTCCACATTGATGAGACCGTCATCGGTGCTGTCGCTAGTGCTCCCTGTGCCTGAACGGCTAGAGACTTGCGGCGAATATTTAGCCAGTCGGTGGGCGTGCCGCGCCGATAGCGCTGCGAGGGCGGTCATGCTAGATTGCCATGGCGTTTACATCCTCGCTTGTTCGAATCGCGTGTCGTGCGGTCGCACCCGGCGAACGCCACACCTGCCTTCCACTAGGTACGTTTCCGTTGTTCTCCGATCTACCATAAGAATCCGACCTCTGATAGTGACCTCGAAACCCATGCTACATAATATTTGATTTAAGCTTCCTCAAAAGGTGAGCGATTCGCCGAATTGGTAAAGTCTGACACCCGGCCTACTGCTTTATTTTACCGACAAACAGCGCACAAGCAGCGCCGATCGTCCCGCCAAATTAGTCAATCGCTCCTCACTTGGGGCGGGGGTTCGTTAAGAACTTGTAGCTTTTCCTTAAATCGTCACATTAATCAGGAAGTTACACCTAATAGATCACAAAAAATTATTACTGGGTTTCTCCCTGATAGCTTAAATCCTATTAGCGGCCGGCTGGTTTCTGAATGAAGAATCAATGAGACAATCCTCATTCTTCATTCAGAAAATTTGCCTAAACCGATATCAAGATAGTGAATCTGTTCCTCAAATGCCCTATGTACGCCCATTTTCCCCGGCATGAAACAAGTGCATTTTCACTCCTCATATAAACCGAAAACTAGAGACTTTTTATTTGTGTCAGTTTTGCTACTGTTTTTCACGGCTGGCCTTCCTCACCAGGGAATGTTTTGAACTATCCCTGGAACTTTGAAAGGAGATTTAGGGTATGGGTCATTGGGTCTGGGGCCGCACTGATTACAATCGTATGCGACACTTAAACGCGCTGCTTGATCTTTTGTAAGAAAACTTGTGCAAGTCCTCAAAATTTGCAAAAGAAAGCGCGATAATGAGCGTGCAGCTCTCTGGGGGAAAATCACCCTTGTTTTTGCCTGGAACTCAGTTCTATAAGCCGTAAATGGGCCTGATTACGAATATGGAGACTTTGTTCTTGGCGCTTGAGTCACTGCCGCACTGTTTATCCACCAGCGGTAAGCTGCGCCGCCAAGCCGTTTTTTGCAAAGCTTCGAGCGTCCTCATAACTTCGAAAGTTTAGGGTATCAATTTTATGTGTCCATATTGCCTTGTAATCAGCGGTCAAGGCTTATCGGTACATGAGTAAACTCCCGCCAGGTCTCCTTGCAAAATTCCCTGAGAAGTTCAAAGCATTTCCTGGCTAGGCCAAATTTTCCGAGAAAATCTACGAACCACCGTGATTCATATGAGTGCCGCTGTTCCTGAGGAAAATCGCGTCCATTATATTGAAAAAAAATTAAAAAAGGTGGAACATGTGTGGGAGGTAAGCAAACCAGCCCTTTTGGCGTTTCGGCTGGGACCGTATGCTGAATGTTGGGGAGGGGATGGGGTCCCCAACGGTCGACGGTTTACTTCAACTCGGTTGGTACGATAGGAGAGTACTGACGCAAGTGGTGCAGCTGGTCCAGCAGCTCCGCCAGAAGGGCTGGTTTGCTCACCCCAGGACTAAGCCTTGGAGAGGGGACGGACCCGTCCTCTCTTTAAGGCTTAGTTCTGAGGTAAGCACCAAATTGTGGCGGTTCTAAGGACCGAGTTGAAGTGGTCCGTCCACCGTCGGGGACTCCATCCCCTCCCCAACATTCAGCATACGGGCCCAAAGGGCTGGTTTGCTTACGTCCAGGTGTGGTATGACGACGCTGGTTGCTTCACCACTTTTTTCACACCAACCCCTCAATTTGAAGAAAAGGCGAAAAGCCTTCGTGGACAATGCGCATGTGTGCGTGGCCAAGGAACAATTTCGATTCATTTTCATTAATCTCAGATTGAAAAAGAAAAATCCATCCCAAAAGACCGAGATTTAATTGAACATCAGTCAATTTCAAACGAGAACGCTCTCACAATCAGCTTCCTTCCGTCCGTCAGCTGTCGCCTTTGTGTATCCGTCATTTTACTTCCAATTCGGGCTACTGCTGGCTATTGCTATGAATAAATGGCCCTCGTGTCATCCCAAGGAGCTAAATCCAGAATAAGATTCAGTTTTACATCAAAGAGACTCAATCAAGTCATCGAGCAAGGCGCTTACCTACTTACTTTTTACTTCTCAACGCTACTCTACTCGGGCACCCAGAAAAGCCGGTCGCACATCTCCCAAGCCGATCTGCTTGGGGCTCTTCTGCGCCACGATTTTACGAGAGGGTTTGCCCATTGGTTGAGGGGTCTACTTCTAGGCCACAAAAGCGAAGTGTTACCCACCGATTATCTTCAACTTCACCTCAATATGATCTAGTTCAGCTCCGCACAGAGACAAGCGCGTGGCGCATACTGGAATGTGATCGATCGCTACCGGTGCTAAATATTCTCGGTACTCCTTTTCCTAGGTTTCGAGGCGGATTGTTAGGTGCAGATGCCACGAAGTGATTCACTTTTCGAAGTAGAAAATCTCTTTGTGGAATGTGCCTTTAAGTCCGAACGTGCTTATGCTCAAGCATGGAGCGTCTGGTAAATGGTGACCCACTTTAGTAGGAATAGTAAGTAGGATGTTTTCCAGTGACGTAAAACTTGAGGTTGGCTTAGCGACAGCAGTGTTTGGGAGCACAACGTAGCCTTTGCAATTGTTCGAGCATGCAGCAGTGTGTTACTTTTTCAGCGCTTGCCCTTCCGAAATCCCAGAGGTCATTGTTTCATGCGCTCTACTAACACCAGGAGGCGCTTATCCGGTCTCGCGTCTTTCGACATCGACAACTCCCCAGCTTTTTCAGCATCATGGATCCAGCTACTCCCCATGGAACCCCGTTTCCCACTCAGGGGTTTTTAATCAAATTTACATCGGCTGCCGTCAAAACATCATCTGTTCGCTGATCGTTTTAGCATTGACGTGTTCTGACATTGACGTTTTCTCGAGGTGGTTTTTATACAGGCGAAGAGGATTTACTTTGAAGTTCAACCCATCAATAATTCTCTGCCACTGGAAAAATTTGCCCACCCAGATGTGGCCTTGATATTTGAGGGGTAACAGGGCCTGGGTAGTGCCCAGGAAAGGCTAATGAAAATCGAAAAGAGTAATTTATTTAGATTCTAAGCCCTCCTATCTTGGCGCTTCTTTCACAGTTTCGTGTTGTTCAACTTCTACCGTGTATCAACGTAAACAGTTATTTGGGCGCTATCGCAAGATGCGGGGCATTGCAGAAAAAGCGTTTAAAATTGCATAAACCATGTTTTTTTTTCTGGGTTTCTTAAGAACTGTACTAGGCTTTTGGCGTGAGAGGTGCAGATTTCAAAGCGGACCGTGAACGATGTTTCAATTTTCCCCGAGCTGCTGCGCCCCTCCCAGGCTTAAGTCCCTGCTCCCTTATGTTGCGATACATCATTTACTTATTTCCTTATTTATCCATTTGTGCTTTGAATATTTGCCATAAGGAAAAATTAGTGCTGCTCAAGTACACGCAGTGCTGCACCCGTGGTTTTTCAACTGCTTTTCCAGTTTCAATTAGTGACAAAGGCCGACTTTTCCCATTCGCTTAATTGCCCGCACAGTTAGATTTCTTCAAGAGCCTCAAAACTATCATCAGTCGATTAGGGACCACATTATTTCGAAGCATTATTCAGGAGCATTCGAAGATTCCGAGCTAATACTTCGTTTTTAGACTTCATCGAGATATGAGAATCATTATTTAGAGCATTGAAACCTAGTGGTGTGAGGATTTCAGGGGGGGGGAGGGGAAGGAGCGCGAGGTGGTCCAAGAATATAGGCTCTTACATTTATGAGAGAAACTGAGTAGTCTGTGTATCACCTACAATCCATCGCTATCCCTAAGGGCTCTCAAAAACTTCCATGGCTCTAGAAAGGACTGAAACACTTGGTGCGGGATAGCGCTCATTGAAGAGGCTGAGATCCAGATTTTTTTTACACAATTTTGAGTACGGCGCGCTATCACCTTATTTATTTATTTATTTATTTATTTATTTATTTATTTATTTATACGTCCAAATGAGACGCGCCAGTGAATCCAGTATGCGAAATCAATGCAATTATTAAGAGAAAAAAAGCAAAGAAAGGCTGATCTAAGGAACCAGCAGTACCCATACGACTGAGAAGGTAAACCTGAAGTGAATGTGTTCGAGGCAAAAATCATAGGAGGAATGATCATCAGGGGCTGCGAAGAGGCCTAACTGAGGCAGCAATGGTGTGATATCAGGCAATTACCTACACCAGTCGGCTATGGTGTCCTTTAGTGCCACAAGGGGTCATAGGCACTTGCCGGGACTTCGGCACACGGGTATACCGACCACCCTCGTGGACCCGGCAAGCTAGGTAAAGGCCCAGACAACAAACCATGCATTCCCAGAACAGGCGTGGACTTCACTTAAAAAAGAGATGTAGAAGGAGCATACTAAAATCAGTCCTCAGCAATCCCAATACCTTTTCAGTAATACTTGTCATTCATCAAGGTGAAGTGTGAGCGGCAAGGGCGCCGGGGTTCGAAATTCAAATCCTGGGTCGTATCCTGTTCACGGATGCCAACCAAGCCTTCCACCCTTCTGGGACGATGAATCGGTACAATTTATCTATAATAAAATGTTAGGAGCATTGACGTTTGCATTGGGGCTCCGTAAATCATCGCATGAACCATGTCGCACTCGAAATGCCACTACGCGAATAGAAGCAGAATGCGTGGCGCATCCTAAAGAGGATTGTCCAACGCCGAAGCGTTTTTTGGTGTCTTCTCTGGCAATCACTGTTTTTGTCCAAAAGTCATTTATGAATTTTGATAAAATTTTTAGGACAGGATGAGTCTAAAAGTCAATAACTACCTGAGTAGATCATGGGTTGGGAAGCTCTGAGGCTTAGCGATGACTTTCAGAGCTCCACGTGCATCACTGAAAAGCGGTCAAACCTAGGTTGAAGTTGATCATTAGTTCGCTTGGATATTCCGCCGTTTAAAACATTTTTATTGTTTCTTGCTCCAGAGGGAGGTACAGTCGGAAGCGGTAGATAGTCTCACCGGTAGAAGAAGCACCCTGTCGTACAACGGCGTTCAAATCCCATGCGAATGCTCCGAGAAATCAGCTCTTAGGGTAACTAACGTGGTGCCTCAGCAGAATATCGATCAAAGGTTCAGGTGAATTTGCTAAGTTGATCGATAGTGAAAGATCAAGAGAAACTGCCGAAATCTTACGAACTGAGCCACCACTTACCGTGTGCTTTGCGAGAAGAACCGAGAGCGAAACACCACGGGGTAAGGACAACACGTCCACTTGTTGGCGGTACTTCTCATCCTGATGTTCCACAGGGTCTTGCAGCGGTCATTCTAGTCCTCCTTTTGAAGCGAGCAGGCCACACATCGTCTGTTAGACAACTGTTTTTATTTCCACTATGAATTTTTGCTTTACAGCCTCATGACATTTTCTGACCCGACGCTTTTATCCATTTTCCCCCACTGACCTTTTAGGAGGACGGAAAACCCTGGGTCGCAAACCAATGACAGATTTCTTATGAGAGCTCAGATTACAGAGACTGTGCTATTATTCAATAATGGCGCTTATTTTGGCGCATATTTTACTCTTCTGGGTTTTTGTCATTACAGAAATGGAACCTACAGATTAAACAAATCTTCCGTATTCGACTTCCTTTCACCCTTTCATCTTACTCGTTTTCTAGTGTAATTCATAACAAAGATCCTTTCGACCAAAATGATTTCAGTTATGGGCGTAGATTTGATTTATTATTACTATGGCCCCAAAGGAGCCAAGACAAAGCGTGAAAGTGCCCATAAATCACATTCGACCCTCGCGGCGCCCGTAGCTTACTGGTAGGCTCTGAAAAACTCGTTTTTCATTCCTGATTAGTTTCCACCACTCTTTGCTGCTTCCTGGCTTGAGGTCCATGGTCGAAGCAAATACTCGTGCGGTAGGGCGTAGAGCTCCTACACGCCGAGCTACCACCTCATAATTCCTTTACTATAAAGGTCGCTTCCTTCCATGGCTAAGCCATCATTGAGGCTAAAAAACTCACGTGCAAATGGAGACGAATACAAAACGGTGATTGCGAAGAATTGCCTGCAGCGTCGCTAATCCGTTACAGCTAATGACTAAGGCTTCTCGTCGGCCGGAAGTGGTAGTAGTTTTGCTGTCTGGGAAGCCCGTCGAGGCTTTTTGGAGGACTAAGAACCACTTCCTGTCTCTGCCCCGCTTTCTGGATCTCTCTTTGACCAAATTCATTGCATCGACTTGCCAGAGCTTTCTTAGACGGCCATCTTTCCAACTCATCCTTGATATCTGCGGTCTTCATGAGACCTTAATTTTTCAAATTTTCCCCCACCCCATGAGGCCCTGTAGGACACCGGTAACAGCTAAAGCTGGATGCCACATGTACCAGCATTTGAAGGCGAGGGACACCGACTCCTCTTCAAATCTATGAACCGTGTGTACCAACCTCTCCAGGAGAGAGCGGAAAATTCTTCAGAAAATTTGCTCTTTTGAGACCGTTTATACTTCACAAACGCGTCTTTCACTTCCTTACGAAAAACGGAAATTCAAAATCCGCTGCGATGTCTTCTTATCTCTTCAGGAATTTGATAAATGACCTTTATGGGGTTAAGGTTTTGGCGAGGATCGCCTTCTCCAAAAACCGGAAAGGGTGGAAGCAATTTATGACTACCCCGACCTAAAAATCCCCACCCCTTGCACGACGGGGGTGAGGATGATACGGTCTGGACCTTTAATCTGGGTCCGCTTAAACTGTAGGCTCATCCTTATCTGAGAGGACAAAACACTAACTTGTGACACATCGGCCCTATCGAATTGGAACAAGGCGTCCCGTATGCCCCAGCGTAGAATAGAAGTAGGTGCGCAACTCAAGCAGGTCCAAATCTAACGCCACATTTTGATCCCCATTTATTCTTTTTCTTCCTGCGCACGTAAACCCCGACCCGACAATTTAGCCGCTAATGGAGGGGAATCGTCTTCCATAAACAAGAGCGTGTGACTTTGGCGGAAATTCGCCGCTGTTCCTAATGGCTTTGTGGGTCTTTCCCACCAGAACGGCGTGTTGCCCATTGTGTGGGAATTCACACATGATTCTCTTCTATTCGGCTACTCCTTTGTTCCACTGATTTTTATCTTCGCGTTAGCCTTCGTAGAAACAGTAGTTCTTCGTGCTATTCGGAGGCTCTGGTTTAATACTCCCCAATAGGATCACGGTGCCCATTTTTCAAATTGCAGTTCCTCTAGCGAGGGTCTCATCCTTTAGATGGTCGCACCTCCCTTACCCAGTGCCTTGAATTGGACCATGACCTCAACAAACTGCGCTGAAAACTGCTTCGTAAACACTGATTAAAGTGCCATTTAAAGGAGGAATTCACGATTAGAATGAAGGTCGAAGAAAGGGAAACTGACCTAGTTGAGGGACCCACGGACCTCCTGAGGGTGCGAACTGACGCGCAATTCGCATGGAAAAATTTGACCTCGGCGACCTATCATGCCTCAAAGCTGGCGGGTCCGGCGATCTCCGCCCACCGATCATCTGATCACTCGCCGTAGTTCAATACGTGGCGAGTGATTAGATAGCTGAGAGAGCGTAGTGTTGAAGAGGGCACAGCGATGAGAGTCGCATCAATGCTCGAATCAACGGGCAAGGAAGGGGTACCATTTCTCGGGTTCTGGGCCGTTTCTCATGGTTCTTCCTTCGTAAGGCATCGAATACAGAACACATTGATCTTCTTCTTCGTGTACTACTCACCACTCCTTCACCCAGGTTTAATTCTGCAATTGGTTTGCTTTTCTATCGCAAATTCGTCCTTTAATAAACTCAATCAAATTATTCACCCAACAAAAGCCGTGACCGGCACCACCATCTCGAAATGCCCTCATGAAGTTCAGGGGAGGGCATTTCTTCAGAAGATCAAAATTCTTTTGACTCTATATGGCATAGTACACCTTCCCACGTGGTGTCGCCTGAACGGCAATGAATAATGCCCTTTTCAAAGCGTCTACGTAAAATCAAAGATCCCTTGTGCGGCGTCCTTATAGGGCGTCTCTTTTCAACACATTGGAGTGCTTTTGACCGTAGGGCTAAACTTTCTGCTTAGGGGAATACCTCCAAACAGCCTATACCTTAACCCTGTCTATTAGCCTTTTACCAACTAGGACTACCTCTCTCCATCAGATGAACAAAAAAAAAATCCCAAAATTACGAACTCACTGAGATAGGATTGTGCCTTTCCAAAGGCTGTTGATCAGCTGAACTCCTGTAAAGTTCAGAAATGGTTTATACCCAAAGCGAAACCCCTACAAAAACACACCAAAAAATCCTAAGGTAATTTTTTCATACTGTGGTGTTATTACGTGGTTAGCATTTACTGACCCAGAATAATTCTAACTGGTTACTACCCATACCTACCTATTTGGGGTGATTAACTCACCTTGCAACGCCTTCAGTTGCATACGCGGTCTTACAACGCCCGAGGTTAGTTTGAAGCATAGCTGCTGAACTACCGTACCCGCGTCCTTGAAAATAAGATTGAATTTCCTATAATGGTTCCGTATTTGTAATGAGGGTCAACCGTCACGTTTGACAAATTTCAAAAATTTTACGACCCCCCCCTGCTGGAGGGCCTCGATACGACCCCCCAGGTCAACCTCTACCGTTGGTACTTTTTGGAAATTTTTCACGACCCCCCTCCACCACCATGAGACTCAGGAGGTCCACCAATAACGACCACCACCCTTACCATCACAGTCCAACTCCACATTTCCTCCAAAATAGCCGTCGAGCGGCTGGGAGAAGGGGGGGGGGTACATCAACAGTGAAACGGCAATTTTTTTCTTTGCCCTCACAAAGCGTGAAACGTCATACTACGCAGTGCGTAGTCTGACGCGGGGTGGGGGTGAGCGTAAAGCGTCACACTACGACCCCCGTTGGTGTAGGATTGACGCTGCCTCCGACCTTGCGAATACGACCCCCCTTTTCGTCGGCCGAATACGACCCCCCTCGTTGGACTTTGTCCAACGGACGGTTGACCCTGTTTGTAATTTGCTTACTTTTCAATAATCCCATGTAATTTTTGTGGCTTTTTTTCAAGTTCTTCGGCATGGCAGGAAGAAAATCCCAGATGTCCAGTCTCGCGACCCTGGCCCTACCATTCCGTTTGACAGATGTGACTAACTTTACCGCGTATTCTGAATTATTACGAGTATTTCGAATTATTACGAAGTATTTTATCATATTACGAAGTACATAAGAATGTGTTTACAATAATAAAATAGTTTAATAATACTTTCTCGGGTGCAAGTTAGGACTCTCTAAAGCGCTGGAAGCGTTATCAAGGGAATGCCTTCCATTGATTCACTCAAAGATCACATTAGTATGTTCGTGATTACAGCCTCGCCTCCGGGGATGTAGCCAAGGCTTAGTGGCCGGTAATCCTTGGCGCGTCAGGCACCTGAGTGATGCAGTCCAGTTGGCAGAGTTGTTTACGGTTGTGGTAGTACTACACTTCAGCTAAATCTCTAGGTATGCTGCGATCTCTGTTCACTTACTTACTTATTCTTTTGCTCAGTACAATTGCAGGACCATCGTGAATGATGTGAGTAGCTTTTCTTGGGTTAGAAGGACACCTTTGAATAATCAAAGGGCGTTTCCAGAAACCTGCCACCGTATCACCCTTTTTAAAAAAGCTCCTGAGGGAAGTGCTACACCATTCCAACTCAGGATGTGGTTGGCAGAGGGGTTGGAGGTGAGGAAGGAGGGATGGAACTGAGTTGCGTCTCAGCTGTGAGGTGTTAGAATGGGTTTGAGTGGGGTTTTCAAAGGCATAGTCCTGACTTGGTGTTGGAAGGGCAGCTGTTGACTCCATTCAAGAAAGGTCAAACCCGGAATGTACTACGTGAAAAGCTATCGACTTACAACGCACCTTTCTTCAGACGTTGAAACGCTGGGCAGCTCGAGATTCAATGGAGTGTCCAAACAGGACTTCCTGGACTCTCCTGTTCCTGGAACCCATTCAGTATTATTTCGGAAGGGAATGGAGGGCCACCTCAATAGAGTGGATGGTGGCAGGTAGAAAGAGGGTGGGAAT